TGTAACATGATTGATACACTACATGATCAGTGTTTAAGATCATCATTTCGATCAAAACATTTTATTTTTAAATTTTTCTTGCCTTACTTATTATTGTATAAACCGCTCTATATTATATATCGGTTGATCGTAATTAAAATACCTGTATTCAACGCTGTCTGGAATAATACTGGAAATTTAGTTTGGTGATATTTCTCTCTAAATAACGTTAAATAAAGGTATTTTAATTACGGCCATACTTTATATGAAATGCTTTTAGGCGAGTATAGGTCAATGAATATGCTATTTTAAGGTCGAGGAAAACTGTAAAAGGTTACCTTTTAGAGATTTTTCGCAAATAATAATTTAAAATTAAAAAAAAAAAAAAGTGTTTTTAAAATAGTGTATATTGTTACTTTGTTTCCTATACAATCATATTGTCAAATAAATATTCTATATTCCAACTTGATAAAGATATAAAATGTCAAAATTTAAATTGTTTTCCTTATATTTATCTGTTAAGGAAGGAGTTTTAATAAAAGAAGAAAACGATCAGTATTTATGAATAATATACGGCCGAACCTGTCTAAAATAAAGTAGAAACCTGCCTAAACAGAGAAAAATTTCTTCAAAACGGAACGATTTTCTATTAAAAACAAACTGTATTTTACAGTAAAAACTTTGTAAATCAAAATGACACGTTACTGAATATTTTTTAGACAGGTTTTACATAATTTATGTATAAAAGTTTAAATTTTACTGTTTTAAATACAGTAAAACCTGCCTAAACGAGAAGAATTCCTCGAAATGTAGCGATTTTCTGTGTTAAAAAAAATAACTTGTTCAAAACGGAAACTTGCCAAATCGTCCGGTTTACACAGGTTTTACTGTATTAAAATATGTATTTTTTACAGAAATACTTTAATTTAAGTATAGTTTCATTTTATTAATGGAGAAGTAAGAATTTATTGTTAAACCTTTCGGTTTAACAGTTATTCGAGGATGTAGATGACAAGTTAAATTTATAGTTTTGTATATTTTAAGCAGTTAAAAATCAAACAATCTCTTATCGTAAGATCAACAGAACTTTTGTTTTTATAACAAGTCATTTATTATAGAAAAAACAAAGAATTATTGATGTTTTTTTAAAGAAAAATGATAAGTGATTGCATTGTTTAAATGGCCTTTCAACAGATATTCGTAGTTTTATCAAAATTTGGCGTTAGATACCGCTTGTCACCTAGTAGAATTAAGAATTAACACATTGCTCCTAGTAATCACAAGACACGTCTTTCAACATTGGTAAGAAAGAAATTGGTCTCCTTTCTCTTTTTCTACATTTAAATTGTTAATTAAATTAAACGGAATAACAGTTTACTTAATTAAGATTATATACAGTAAAACCTGTATTAAACGGAACCTGAATAAAGCAGAAACCTTCTCAAATTTTTCGAAACGGGCGATTAATTTCCTAATTAAATGCCACATAAAAGTAAGGGTCAAGTGGTAAATATCAAGTGGCAATAAATTTCTGTCCTAAATCTATTTATAAATCTGTCCTAAATTTGGCTTCTCTCTTAAATTTTTACTCGTGGTAAGCTATGAAGTACCGTAGTGTAATTTTTATTAGTGCTACCAAGTACGCTTTAAATGACCCCTCAATATATGCCATTGTATTTTATCTAATAAAGAAAATTATATTTAAAATTTACGTATAGAAGAAAAACAAAGCTGACATTTGTCTTCACACAATAGGAACAATATCACAAGGCAGTTGTCGTTCCTGTATGGTGAGAAGGAGGAATGTATTGTATCGAGCTATGCCAAATCAGGCTTTAAATTTAATCTGGCTCTTCGAATCATTATGTCTAAATTATACCCATTTACTTTTAACACTTTCCTTCCATTAAGGTGCCTTTTTTTTCTAATTCCATAGTGGATTCGGCCAGGCCCACAATGGGAGAGGCCGGATGATGAGAGACGGGGAATACACGCGACTGATCACTTTGTTGATCTGTATAGTTAAAGAAATGAAATCTATGCACATTGTATTCTAAAATACGAGAAAATAATCAACTGAGTTTTGGGTTAATCTGTATTATATTATTTTACAACATTTTTAAAAAGTAGGATTATATCAATAACATATAAATCATATCACGCTTTCCTTATATTGATAGAAACTGCAATAAACAGATAAGGATCACGATCGTAAATAAGCCTTTTAAAGAATAAATTAATCGATAAAATATTATTTTAAAAAAGATAAAAAAGATTAAGTAGACCTAAGATATAATTTATAAACCATTGAACCCGTTTTAAAAAGAGAGAGAAAGGAGAAAAAAAAGAAGTAGTATTAAAAAAATAATAGGAAATTATAAATTATAAGTTATAACCTGTGTATAACGAACATTTTTTCCTGGGTTTGGCAGGTTTCCGTTTTAAACAGTTTTTACCGTACAGTATTAATTAGTAGAATAAAATAATATTCGATACCGAAGTAGCCGATTGTAGTGGACGATGTCAGAAATTCTATTTTTATGTGACCTGAAAATAATTTATTTAATGGTCTTATAATGTCTCTAGTAATACCGAGTAAGCAGGAATTTCGAGGAAACTTCAGAGGTATTTTTAAAAAAATATTTTACGTGAACGTCGAACGTCGAACGTGAACGTCGAACGTCGAGCGCCGCTATCTTATAAGCGGCGCTCGACGTTCGACGTTTACGTTTTACAGATGAAAACTTCGGCCGCAACCTCTCTATTGCTAATCTTCCGACTTTTTAAAGTACTTCTAATAACTTCTCCATTTTAGCAGCATTTTCCACTGTCAGCCACTTTTTAGGACGTATAACACTACACAAAATACATCACACAAATCAAGCTTCTTCGGTTTTAATTTTTTGCTACTCTCCAGAATTATGGAAATATAGTAAACGAAATTATACTTGGTAAAAATTTGGCCTCCCCATTATAAAAATAATTTATTGAACTTGTTTCTATGGGTGGTTCGAGTCTCCATACGTAACCAAAGGATAGACAGACACTTACACTTTCCTCACTCACAGCTAATGAACATAATATACTGTGGTTTGCTTATTCAGCTGTGGCCTATCACTCCAAGGCATCACGCCCAAACTAACATACTGCTATCTGTCGGGCAAAATTGTTATTAATTAAAATAGAAATAACATTGAATTATTATGTTTTACATTTATATCTTTAATTTAAATAATATACTATTAATAATAATGATATAATAATATACATTTTTAGTAAATTAAATGTAATTCAGAAAGTGTATGGAACAGTAAAACTTGTCTGAAACGGACAGGTTTTACCGCCTAAACGGAAAAAAATTCTTTGAGATGGAACGATTTTGCGTATTAAACAAAAAAAACCTGTTCAAACCGGTAAAAGTATTTTGTATTGCGCCATTTTGGTTTACAAGGGTTTTACTGTTTTTCGGTTGTACTTCGTATAACATATTTTATCTATTTTAAATGTTATCCTATTAGTGTTAATCAAATTGATATCGATGTTTATATTAGTAGTGTATAATACAGTAAAACCTGTATAAACCGGAATGGCAAAGTACGGAATATTTTTCCGGTTTGTCAATTTTACAGGTTAGAAAAAACAGGTTCTATTTTCTGTGTTAGAAAAAAAACCTGTTTTTTCTAACCTGAAAATAGAAGAGTTTTTTCCGTTTTATTCAGGTTCCGTTTTAGACAAGTTTTTTTGTAAAAATTCTTAAAAGAATTTTACTTTTTGATTAAAAAGTCCCTTCTTTTTTATTGAGCCATAATTTAGTACTGTACCATTTAATTGCTGAATAATATCTTACAAGATTATCACTTATTTAAAATCTTGTAAGAGGTAAATTTTCTTATCGAGTGACTCAATTACACTCTCATTGCCATGTCTACTCTCAAATATCACGAAGTATCCTGCACACTATCAAAAATTTCCTGGTCCTTCAACTTGCTCCTACTCTAAATTGTCATCTGATTCTATATAATCTTTATAATTAACCACGTTCGGGACTGATGTTGCAACCATTACAGAATAGCATTTTTTAACCTGGTTTTCTGCTTCTATTTCAGTCGTATTAATATAGTCGACAGTGTAGAGTTATACAGGAAAGGAGGATCATTATCGCTAGAATGCTAATTCAACCCGACCCATCCCACTGTAGGCTTGGTCAAACCAACAATAGATGTGATTAAATTGCACAAAGATTTTCAAGTAACCTTCAAATAATAAATCCTAAGAAGAGTGTTGAGGTTACGAAACCTCAGAGAAAGCTTGAAACAGCGACGATTGGTGTGAAAAAGGAACTCATCGCTAAGCATGAGAGCAATGTCTAATCACACAGTCATCTTTGGTATGCCAAAGTCGATTGTGTATACGATTCTGAAGCAAAAAGAATCAATAAAAGCGGCAGATGTGGCGAAAGGAGTTACAACTTTAAGAATATCGCAGACTATGGAGCAGATGGAAATATGCTCATAGTGTGGAGTAACGAAAAATAATTGGATGGTAATATCATATCTGAATCAATAATTTGTAAGAAAGCAAAGCAGTTATATGGCGATCTAAAACAAAACATGCCTGAAAGCAGTGGTAAAAGGGAAAGTTTAAAGCTAGTACGGGTTAATTCGATAATTTGAAGAAAATAAGTAGTGTTGTGAGGTACGGAAAGGCTTCTAGTGTGAATTTAGCAGCAGTAAAGGACTTTGTGAAAAAGTTCAAAACCTTTGTGAACAGTGAGGAGTTGTATCGCAGCAAGTTTTCAACTATGACGAAACAGGTTTGTTCTGGAAGAACGAAGATAACAAACCAAACGCACATTACCAAAGAAGAGAAGACCGTGTTAGAACATAAACCTATGAAAGATAGGCTTACTTTGTTGCTGTAAATGACGACTAAAAAGTAGTCATTGCTTGTGTACTCCGACAGCTCACGTGTGTTTAAAAAAACAATGAGATTAAGAACGAATTCAGAATTATTTGGAGGACAAACAAGAAAGCATGAGTTATCAGGCAGTTTTTCATTGAGTGGATTCAGGAAGAGTTTGCTCTCTGTGTGAAAGCCTACTTATAAGAAAAGAACTTACTTGTGAAGGCTCTTCTAGTGATGAACAATGCTCTTACTCGTCCTCCTTCCTTGATTGAAAAAATGGTGGGTAAATGCAGCTTCATCGAGATCTTGACCCAATATCAGTCATTTCATGGACCAGCAAGTCATCTCGAACTTGAAGCACCACACGAAGGCAATGCTCCAGAAGTCCTTTGAGGCGATCACTGAAATAGAACTGACCTTAAGAGACATTTGGAAGAATCATTACAGCACACTTTATTGTTGCCATCAATAAAGCATGGAGGAAATTTCTCTTGGGGCAATGAACTCTGCCTAGAAGAAACTGTGGCCAGATTCTGCTGCAGACAGAGACTTTGAAGGCTTTCAATCGAGGTCTCTGGTGAATGAGATTGTCTCTTTGCGCAAGTCCATGAACTTGGAAGTGAATTATGATAATGTTGAAGAGTTACTGGAAGATCACAAGATAAAGTTCGCAACTGAAGAACTCGATTACCTTCGCAAGATGCAGCAATATGCAAGGACGGAAGAAATTTCTTTTTCGTAGAAGGAAGGTAGTAAAGAGGCCATTTCCATTGCTGACATTAAGAAATTCTGTTTTCTTCGGTTTAAAACACAAGCCATTATTGAAAAGTGGCACCTTGATAAAGTAATGGTGAGTAGGAGAATTAATTTTTTCAATAACAATATTTTATTTATTTATTTAATACGCACACTGTATACACTCCTTGATGCGGGGGAGCAAAACCATCTCCCCAAAAAAACAAAACACTTAATAGGCATAAGATCACAATCAAAAATTATTATTATAATATTAATTTAAATAAATAACAATTTAAATAATAAGGTATAAAAATCAAATATAATAATTAGTTAAAGTTTAAAGCTAAAGTTAAGATTTGGGAGCATCTGTCAAAAATAATACAAAACCAATAAACAAGATAAAAATAAAACAATCAACCAAAAGAGAAAGCAAATTGCTTACCTATACAAAGGAAATAAATTAGTAACGAAAACACAGCACTGACAGATTCTCCCAAACAACACCAGCAGTAAGGCCAATTTTACAGTAGATGAATCACGCCCCCTAAGACAAAAGATCAACAGGTTTTTTTAGAAAACAAAACACTTTAAATTGATAACATGGTTCCGATAAAATTTTAAGATATAAAGACCTGGTAAGAACTTCACAACCAAAAATTTCATCACGTAACACTTTAAGACGCCCACATTTAGCCAAAATATGCCAGGCATCAATAATTTCGTTCTCAATACAAAAGTTACACAATTCTCTCGAATAATTATTCAAAAAATTCAGAGAATTACACCTAACCTGTATAAATAAAGACAAAATATTAAGCGAAACATCTTGATTATATAAAAAATTACCATAAAAAAAGTAATATTTAAATCCTTATACCAGCAATTATATATGTTGCAGTCAAAACTCGTTTTTAGTTAGAACGTGTTTTAACAAGTTGAAACTAGTTTATACTTGATGTCTTTGTTAAAACCAGTTTTGTCTAGTTAAAACTGGTTTTAACTTAAATTTATTTTTGACTAGCAGTAAATTCTAGTTTAATTTACTGCTGTACATGTTTTGATTTTAGATAAAACTAGTTTTAACTTTTAACATTAGTTAAAACTAATTTTAGCTACATAAATATGGTTGGGGGAAATAAATAAAGTTATGTATTGTGATTCGGGGAAGATGCCTAACATTTTGCTTATGAATGAAAGTATAGCGCTAATTTAGGTTTTGGAGCCCTCTAATGAAAATATCATATTCTGGCGTATGTTTTTCAAATAAAACTTTGGAGTTTATTTTAAAAAAAAAATTGTATATTGTTTTTGCAATGGCGACTTTTTCACTGTCTGGCTTTTTAGGCATTTCACCCCAAGTATCCGGGTGAGATGCCAAATGCCATTAGGGTAAGATAACAAATATAATTGTATAAAATTAATTTTTGAATTTCTTAACCAAATTTAATTTATTGCATATGTAGTACAAAGTACTTCTATAGCAAGTATAACAGCACAGTATAAGTATTGTTAAGTTTCCGCCCGTTCTAACATGCTCTATAGCTAGCTGAAAGCTTTTTTCAGTCCAAAAACTTTTTTGAGAAGTCCTTATATAATTTCTATGCATATGCATTGGAATTCAATTTAAAAAAATAGGCATGTTACCCCAAGAAAAATGTGGCATCTTTTGGGATTTTGTTGGGGTAATATGCCTAGTAGAGTCACGTGCTCCAGCATGTCCGATCGGGGATCGTCGGTAGCTGACAATGGAAAATTTAGAACCTTAACTATATCATACATTAATTGTTTTTCGCAATTTTTAATAAATTCTATTTTAAATTTTAGTTTAAAATTACTTTAGAAACATTTCACAACAAAAACTTCGTTCTTATCTAGCTTTTATTCTTCTCAGATGTAGAAAATGAAGTAACGGTAGCCAACTACAGCTTTCCGCACTCAATATTGGCCTAACGATTCATCATACAAATACGTGACAATATGTGACGTCATCGTTGAAAATATCAAAAATTAGGCATCGTTCCCCCGCTTACCATCTTATCCCGAATCACTCTATTATGTTGCAGTCAAAACCAGTTTTTAATTAGGATGCGTTTTAACTAGTTAAAACTAGTTTATACCGGATGTCTTTGATAAAACCTGTTTTCTCTAGTTAAAACTAGAATTTACTGTTAGTCAAAAATGAATTAAAACTAGTTTTAACTAGTCAAAACGGGTTTTATCAAAGACATCAAGTATAAACTAGTTTCAACTTGTTAAAACGCGTTCTAACTAAAAATGGATTTTGACTGCAACATATACACTATTATTTATTTTTTCATTTATCTATATATATAAAAATGAATGTATGTGTGTCTGTCCTTCATGCATTACCACACCGTTTATCCGATTGCCATGAAACTCTGGAAAGTTTTTTAATACACTCTCGCGAAGCACATTTATCCTACGATAGATGGCGCGCGTGTATACAAGCACAGTGTGTTCGATCGATTTCAAATTGTGAAGACCATTTCCCCCTCCAAAAAATATCTCTATATACGCATTTGTTATTTACGATATTTGTAATAATTTTCGTTTAATCACTTTATTTCAACTTTTTTTTTTTTGCTAATTATGTATTCGTTCAAACTTTGTTAAAACCTTAACTGTATTCCGAACAACAACCGAAGTTGTAGGAGGAAATTCGCCTATTTTACCGATCTAGGGATCCCCTTTTTCCAAATTTTAATATCGACTCAAAATAATTTAAAAAGACAAATTACAATAAAACGGTTTATTATCCAACTATCAGAAATTTCACAACATGCCAAGGAAGAGAGGAAGGAGCAATTAAATAATGAAAATTATAAAGGATTAAAAAATATATATAAAAATGGGGAATATCGCACTTCTGACAATCTCTGCGAGTATGTGGGCTAAATTTAAAGAATCCGTGCTTCTCGCGTGGACAACTGTATGTGGCCAGCTCACGCGTCGGAAAGCTTTCTGATTTATTCGTGTACGCACCAGACGGAAAAACAAAAAATATCGTGTATCCACAAACACTCCAATAAACAAATAGAATTGAAACGACACTTTGAAATGTTTTCCCGATGAAAATGAATAATAATAATAAGTTTGAATAAAAATGATAAAATGAAAATTTAATTTTTTCATAACGAGTTTGCTTGAATTTCGTTTCTTCTGAGATCGCAGCAATGCGCGACGGGTAAGCTAGTTATTAAGATTAATACCATGATTATTACAGGTATTAATAAAATAACGTGTCCAGTCTATAGACTTTTTATTAAGTATAAATTTCAGACAAACTTTACTCAAACGATGATCATTAAGATTAGAAATTCTTATAATCCAATTTCTTATCCTGCTAAATAATATAAATTTTATAGGGATCAAAGTACATTCAATCATGATTAAATAACCAGGAGTACAACGAGGTAAATAAAATAAGTTTTTAATAAATTCAACCTGTATGCCATCACACCATTGGCCAAATTAAAACCCCAAATCTCTGAAGCATATAATAAAGAGGGCAAAACCAGTTCTCAATAAACGTAAATAATTAGTCAGATTACTTAGTTTGGCAGATCTCTCTAATCGAATAACTTTATTCATCAATACTCTTGCATGAGTTCTCTTATTAATGTAATGCATACGGAATAAATCATTAAACGAAAATGTAACACCCAAATATTTATAGTTAGAGAGAACTTGAATTGGAGAACCCTTAATTAAACCATTTATTCGCCCTCGCACTCTTACCTGCTCTTCTAAATACAACAATCTTAGACTTATTCAAATTCAATTTCAAACCATTTTCATCAAAATAAATTGCCAATTTATCAATCAATCTCTGCAGTCTAACCACAGAATCAGATAAAATTACAATATCATCGGCGTAAGCCAACATTTTAATCTAGAAACCATTTATTTCTATACCATTACCGGAAGAATTAATAATGCCAAAGAGATCGTTCAAAAAAATACTAAACAAAATTGGGCTCAAAATATAGCCCTGCTTAACACCAGTCTTAGAGAACATTAATGGCAAACAGTTACCTCTAGCTCTTATCATAAGCGAGGAGTTATCATACAAAGCAACGAGTAAAGATACAAATTTATAACTAAAATCATAACGCAACATCTTTAACCACAGCAAATTCCTGCAAACTGTATCAAACGCAGAAGATAAATCAACAAAAAATGCATACACTTTCCTACGTTTTCCGATGATAACCATGATGATAACCCAGATACCTCTATAATTACCAGGAACATCCTTCCTACCATTCTTATAAATCGGAATTAAAATACTCGTCTTCCATGACTCCGGTATTATCCCAGTGTGAAAAATCTTTGAGAAAAGACTCAAAAGATGTGGTCTCAACGGCTCAAAATTCCAAAATTCCATTGGGATCCCATCAAAACCTGGGGTCTTATTTGGTTTGTACCTCCAATAACAACCTAGTGGATTATGTAGGAAGATCCAAAATGTCGCCAACATTGGATAGATTCTTCTCCATGGAAATGAAGTTCAATGAACACCGTAATGACAGCTACCTGTTGCATTTGTAGAAAGTGATTATCTTTTCTCCTCAATCTTTTCTCCTCTCCAGCTTCCTCTTGGACCATCAGCACTTCTCACTAAAGTAAAGTAACAATACAGTATTTTCATTTTATCGCGCTATTTATTATTTTCTTATTATTATTTTCGTTGTTTTATGCATTAATTAGGGCGTTTACTTATGTTATTTTAAATTAAATTATGATTTTTTAGAATTAAAATGATCATTTTTGAGATGAAGATTAATTCTCTTTACGTTGTTCCATATGGAAAAAAATTTCTTTGAAATTCGAACGCCCTTTAAAAACAAATTGAATTTGAGTTTCAAGGATGCAAGTCTTTTCTGTTCCACTCTTCTAAGCACATAGAACAGTGGTTCTTCAGTTCATCTGTAAAAGTCTTCAGTTTATTATTCTTAGTGTTATTAGAAAGAAAAGAATTTGTTCTTTATCACTAAGTGTCCTACGGAAAAATAAACTTCTTAAAGCATTTGGTGTTTACTTAAACTTAAATTTGGATTGGATTGATGGGATAAGGGCAACGCAACAAGGCCCACCAGTGACCAAGTGGTTCCGTTCCCCGAACACTGGAAGTTCGGTCGTGGCTTCGCGCCTCGCTAGGACGGCTGGCCACGTGGAGTTTACCGGGTTTTCTCCACGTCTGTAACGCCTAAATAGGGGGCAAGTTACCCTTAAAAAGATTTCCCGGAAGTCATTCCCCAAGTTTTGCGTTGCCATAACTTAATAAAACAAACAAAGCAAAGTAACAAGTGGGCGTTCTTCCAAGGGGGTGTATCCCGGGAGGCCTTATTTAGGAAAAAACCTTACGAGGCCAGCTGCAAACCCACGATCCAATTACAGTGTTCGAAATTGAAATTTAATAAATGATATAATACAATATTAATTTTGACATATTTCAAAAAAAAGCAACCCACTTCATTATGTCAAAAAGGTCTTCGCCTCACAAATCCCATTAGATATGTGACATTTTTATTGAATATCATCAGAATTTCATTATTATTAATTATTTTACAATATTTTACTATACATTTTTCAGTAGATGGTTTTCAACAATATAAATCACAGAAGTACTGTATGTATTCTTCAAATTTAAACTGAAATAATTGTAAAATTTAATTTAAAAACATCATTAAACTCGAATGCTATTTAAGATAATTCTATTATGTTTAGATATATTAATATTATTCGATAAGATAAGAAATATTCCAAAGGGTATAATTGGAATCAGTCAGTCATTTCGAAAGGTGTTCAACGCACTGGAAGCAAAGCTTTACATTGTGCTGTGATGTTTAGGACTACAAATTTTAAGAAAAACAATTTGGATCAAAGACACAAAAGATTTTTGTGGTTATTGCCTTGTCTAATTATATTTTGTGCTACTATTAATAAGCTATTTCGGAACAGTTTAGAAAGTAATCTTTATAAGTCGACTGATAATGGTAAGCAATATTTAAATTCACTCTATTTATTAAAAAATTCGGCTAAATTAATAATTTAATTTTTTAAATTAACGAAGAAAAATAAAAACGTTTAGTCGATTGCAACATAAAATGGGTTTTTCAAACTTTGATAAGAAGTCAAATCTTACAAATTTTAGCAAGAACGTTCGCAAATATTTAAGCTCGGCGTATTCGCTATCATCATTATGATGAAACTCGGAGAGATAAAATATTAACAATGTAATTGCTTTGTCAAATTATTGTACTTTCGATAAACTAAATTTGTTATATAAACAACGGCTTATTTCCAAATAGATTCCCTATTTCAATTTATTAAAGTGGCATACGAATTTGTTCCTATGCCACTTACTACTCATATTAATAAACTATCAGAATATTTTCAAGTCATTTTTCGATGTTAAGTGTTGCATGAACTATTGGTAAACCCCTTCACCTTTACTATTTTAAAGGTGAGGGGTTTATCAATAGTTCATGCAACACTTAACATCGAAACCCCTCACCTTTACAATAGTGAAGATGAGGGGGTTTACTTTTGTACAAGTGAGGAGGTTTTACCAAAAGAACATCGTTGTACACAATAGACAGAGAGGATAGTATAATAGTACAAAATAAGGGTATTGCCCTTCTCTTATTATTATTTCATCATTTGTTTAAAAGACCAGAATATTTTTACTCATTTATATGAAATAACCTATTGTTTTTAGTTGCACGTTCTTTTCACAGAAATAACTATTATCTTTCTTTATTTAATCCTATGCTATTAAAAATTTAATATCAATTAAATATAATTACTACACTAGCAACAAAACTTTACTAGAAAGAACGCCGAAATGGAATCATTGATAGCAGTCTACTACTTAGTATACAGTACATCTGACAACACATACAAACTGTTTTGTTATAGATACTATTCTAGTCTAGCTGGAGTAGTATCTATAACACGGCTGTTTAACACTAGAGATAAATTGTGACGTTATAGTATAGTGAATTATGCAATCTCTTTAATGTTTAATGTCACATTTCAGTGTGAGTTTCGGTTTTCAGACCAAGTACAATATACAAAAGATAAAAAAAAATTTATAGATTATTTGATATATTAAATAGGTTACCCAACTAATACTTTTTAATGATATTATAATTGTATGAATTTTTATTCTGTATTAGAACATTCTTGTGTTCTGCCTTTCTGACAGGTCCCTGGAGTATTATGTCTTATACACACAATTTCATCGTTGCAAAATAGTAATATAAATTTATAATTATCTTATTGATGTAGATAACGTTTATCAGCAGGCAAAAATAGAATATTTATTTCACTTATCTCAAAAATAGAACCCATAAACAATAACACCTATAACACTAAATTATCCTATAAATTTAAAGTAAATATATTATTGATAACTTTCTTGTATAAAGTTAAAATATACAGTAAAACCTGTGTAAACCGGACTCACGCGGTGCCGAATATATATATATATATTTTTTTTTTTTCGGTTTGGCAGGTTTCCGTTTTGAACAGGTTCTATTGTACGTATTCAAATTCGAAAATATGAAATTTCTAAATGTTTTCAAATGCCAATATCATGATTTAATGCTTGATAAATGAGATTGTGATAAAGCTTAACGAGATTTGAAATTAATCACAACTACATAATCTTTTGTATTGTTTGTACAGATAAATATTAAAGATAAGTTTTAATTAATTTTGATAAGTTTTTAATCATTAATCATAAACTCGAATAAATCATTATTTGCAGGTTTCGTCTACAGTTTAATTCTTTTTTTTCTTATTAATTCCTTAATATTTTTTTATACGTACATTTTTCATTAAACATTTTATTATTATTATTATATTAATGGCCGAATGGACTAAGCGGTAAGACATAATCCATCCGAAGATAAAGCCTTACTGGTCTTTATAAGTAAGTCTATCACTCTGGGGATGATCGAGTGGATAAAAGCACTGAACACTGTAGTTGGTCGTGGGTTCTTCATGTAAATGAGACAAGTTTCCGTAGATTCTGATTGAAAGAAAGCTCCGAGAGTATGTAAAGAGAATCATGAATGTGTAAGAAACGAAAGAGGTACAGTACGTATGGATAGATAGATAGAAATGACACAAGTATGTCAGGTATGGTGTAGTGCATGATTTCAGCAGGCTCCAGAGTGAAAGTTTGGATGAGTGTTCTGGCACGCTATGCCCTGCCTAAATTACGTTCTTCAGAGTACTGAATCTTCCAGGGTGTTGTGCACAGGAAATCAATTTTATTCTTGGGAAATCCATCCCTTTAGGGAAAGTCGTGACAGTTTAGTAAGGAAAAGTCCATAAATTTCGTAACGTATTTTTATACATTTCAACTACTATACCAGTCTCCTGTAATATTCCTTAACGTTATTGCACATACCCAACCTTAAAATTACGGAACTAAAGTGCCGCCATTAGTATCGTGAGGTATAAGAATTGTTTTTATTTAAAACAACTATGCGGAAAGTATTTAATAAATATATAACTACTATCGAAATATATTCACGTTACGAGATACTTTAAATAAAAATGTAAGGCCATATAAGGACTAGATCTTTAAAGCGCGAGAGAAATAATGGCGGCACCTCCGGTTTGTCGGAGTAACTTGTATGATTGCAGAATATAGTATATATATATATATAATGTTGTTTTTTTATATTTTATAAGAACTACAATATAAAGATTACTCGTCGCGAAAAATTCTACAGTCCATTAATACAACAGAAGATTGCCTTCCACCATCGTTAGAACAGTTTCCAGATGACTTTTTTACTAATGAAGAAAGGCTGAAAGGTGGTATAGTCGTCCATTTTCTTCTTGTAATCTACTTCTGTTCAATGCTGGCAATCATATGCGACAGTTATTTCGTTCCTTCGCTCGAAATAATCGCCGATTGTAAGTAAATCATTTTACTTTCAATTAATAAAAAATGATTCCGTGCTGAAAGTATTTTTTAAACAGATTTTAGTGTACCAGCCGATGTAGCAGGAGCCACGTTTATGGCTATTGGTACATCGTCACCGGAATTATTTTCTTCTATAATAGGTAAGTATTTTAAAATTTTAAACTATTGTCTTTATTCCTAAACACCGTAGTGTTTATTTACTAGGATCATTCGTAACCGAAGGTGATATTGGAATTGGTACTATCGTAGGTTCAGCTGTTTTCAATATATTAGGAGTCGCAAGTATGACGGGAATCATAGTGGGTTCAAAGGTAATATTATCGCTTATTGTCTGGTTAAGTTTATCAGAAAAATAAGTAACTTAGAATTAAGGTTTTCTCTTCACCAGTGGTTCGTTATTGCTTCATGGGGCCCATACGAATTTTAATTAAGAACCCCATGTATTGTACAGTAATCACTTCAGACATTTTTCTTCGGGGGAATGTTTTAGGGAAATTTTTCTTATAAAAGATTGGTTTGGACCCCCTCTTGATATGGGCACCAGGACAGTGCCCTTTTTGCCCATAGGATAACGCGCCACTGCCTTCAACAATTGAAATTTCAATTTTTATAATTGTAACTTCAACAGAAGAGGAAAGTATTCCTGAAATGCCTATTGAAGGAATAAATAAATGTTAATAATGTAAAAGAATATTGAATTGATACTAACCTTGATATATCAGTAATAAGTCTGGAAATAAAATCACCATTGAATTAAGTGTAGTGAATATAATGTTAATCTGAAATTTAAACTAAAACAATAATTTTATTTTATTTGTATTTTTATATAGGATATACCTGTCGACTGGTATCCAATAACGAGAGACTGTTTTATGTATTGCTTGACAGTTTCAGCTTTAATAGTTATAATAAATAATAATATAGTAACATGGTAATATTTTATAAAATATATTTTTAAGTGTATGATGTTTATAGGAAGGTTAATACAATTCTTTTTCTAGGTGGGAAGCCCTTATTATGCTATTAATGTATGTATTTTATATTCTCATTATGTACTTTAATACAAGAATCGAAGGTTTCTGCACGTTAAAGGTCAGTAATAAATGATTATACAGTATTTAATTCTTTCTGTTATATTGAGATTTTCTCGTTCTAGGTTGAGAAAATACAGAAGTGGCTCCACAAAGAAAAGCAAATAGACGAACACACTCCCCTTCTTGGTAATCAACACTTTCGACCAGAAATTATTATTGATCCACCCAAACAGCCACAATCTGATGGCCCTTTACTTTGTACTGAAGATGAATTTTCCATAGAAGAAGAAATAGTCGGTAGAAGAACTAGAAGAGAAAGTAAACTCTTAATTGAAAGTAGTTAGTAGATGATTTTTAACAGGATAATCCTCCTTCACTTCTATAACATATTTTAAAAATTATCTATATCTCAGTAAAGGAATTAGAAATCATTAAAAAAGAAGAAGGTTCGTTATTCTCTATGCCAAAAGAAAATATTGGTATTCAAGTTTGGTGGGTATTAATGTGGCCTGCGACATTAATATTCAGCTTAACAATTATTGATTGTAGAAAACCAAGATTTCGAAAATTCTTTCCAGTTACGTTTTTCAGTAGTGTCATATGGCTCGCAATTATTTCTTATTTAACTATATGGATGGTAACAATTATAAGTAAGTATATACTATAAAATTATACATATGTTAATTAAATAAATAAATATACAAATTTTTTCAGGTTATACTCTTGGTATTCCTGATACTGTTGCAGGTATCACTCTCTTAGCAGCTGGTACGAGTATACCAGAGATTATATCAAGTATAATTGTAGTAAAGAATGGTATGTCCAACGAAGAATTTTTCTTACAAAATGTTTATTATTATTATTATTACAGTTATGACATTTTATTGTTTTGTTATAGGATTGGGTAATATGGCGATTTGTAATTTGTTAGGAAGTAATATTTTCGATATTTTATTCTGTCTTGGAGCTCCGTGGCTTGTCAAAACTGCTGGATTTTCCAATGGTGATGGCTTTCTTATCATTAACAGTTCTGCTCTCACATATACAGTAACCACCCTGTTAACAACTATCATTATGCTGTATATATCTTTGTATATTACACAATGGAAGCTCAACTGGAAACTTGGTATCATGTGTTTGATACTGTACTCAATTTTCATAATATTAGCTTGTCTTTACGAATTAAATATTTTCGGTTATTTTAATCCTGTTACTTGTTTAAGCTGACACATCTCGATGTTTTTTAGTTATTTTTAATTTTATTATAATTCAGAAATAAATATGCAATTTGTTAGGTATTTTATAATTGCATTTAATCTTAGTTACAAACGTAAATTTTTTTTATCTGCAATTGTTTTTACGGTATTTTATCTTAGTGCTTACTCTCTTGTATCAGTAATTTATATTTAGATATACTCAAATGGTTAAAAATAAACAGGATAAATTATATGTTAACGTATTGATACTTTATTTTTCACATTCTATATTTTCTTTAGAATTTAATATAAACTTTAGTAAATTAGATTTACATATACACTTTCGTAATGTATTGAATTACTTCATAAAGACGTAAATACAGGGTATCCGAAAAGTCACTGTACTATGAGAAATTTGTAATGACATTAAAGTTATACGTACGGCAGTACATACGAGACCTGTAAATTGTATGTTCCTTATTTCCACTTCGCAGCATTTCTGCTTGCTCACAGATACTGTAGTGTTTGGAAGACTTACATACTGATCGCATAATCTCCATTGTAATCTGGCCTGCTAGGTTTCCGACCTCACCACAACCGGATTCTGGTGCCTTTGTGGTACGAGTTTCTCCGGCATTTTTCTGTCGGAGAAACTGCAACATCATACGTAAAACTTCACTTTTATTAAACCTTTTCCACTGTACAGCAATTACTCGGATACCTAGTATACAGGGTACATTGTTGAAGATAGGGTACATTGTTGAACACATATGTTATAATGAAGAAATTGCGCAGTCTTTTATACAATAAATAATAATATAGTAAGAAAAACGATGCAAATTTGATAATTTTTCATTTTCCATATAAAAGATTCTGGACTACTGCTACGTTTCCGAAATTCGTAACATTTTATTTCTATTTTTATCGATTTCACATTTATTCGTTATCAAATTTCTCACTTCTTTACTTTCGATTTCACTTTTTACATTATTGTTTTTAGATTTTTTATTAAATATGAAAGTACTAAAATTCTCCCATACGTTCAAAAATACTGGAAGAACAAATAAACCATGAAGTAACGAAAAGAACATGGCAAGTGAAATAATTTTAAATAATGTAACAAAGGCATACGAAGGTCCAAAGCCAAGGACAACTACACCAAGAACAGTCGAAAGACATCCTTGAAAAATTGGATGTCCTGCACATTCCAGAGCTATTTTTATTTTCTCATTCGAATCTTTCGTCTTTGCAGTGAGAAATGCATAAGAAATATGAGCAGCATAATCCACCGATAATCCGGTTGACATGATGAGTATCAGCATAGAGACTGTGTCCAAACTAACATTCCAAAGTGACATGTAACCAATAACACCGACCTGTATCGATATTATTGTTATTGCGACACAAATAGCACATACAATATGAGGTATGAATGCAAAAAACATCACTGTTATCAAGGCTGCTGCAATGCATAATGTTTGTATGGTAGTTTCTCTAATATTAACATGCTGGTTTAGTATAGTAAACCAATAGTTGTGAACGTAAACTGGATACTTACAAGAATCAGCAATATTCCACAATCTAATGAGCATCTCTTTCTCCACGCTAGCATCTATAATGTCTTTGCTGACAACTAAAAATCTAGATGCTACTATCTGAGTGTAATTTTCATTGAAAATTATATCTTTCTTGTATCTATGGGAGGAGGGAAACTTTAGAAAAATATTACGAAGTCCATCAATGAAATCTTCAGAATTTGTCATGTCATATCCTCGATACGATAGCCACAACTTTGAATCATTTAAAGAAAGGATGTAATATTTTAACCAAGAATCGACCATATTAATTCCTCCCATGTAAGGATCTGCGGCGAATTTATTAACTATTTCAGTAACATCCCTCTGCACTCCAGGATCAGAATAATCTAAAGTTTGGTTTATGATTATTTGTATGCCGTGAGGATACTGTACAAAATATTCATAATGCTTTCTTGTAAAATTTACAGCGTAAGAGCTGTAAGGAAAACCTTTCACGTAATCAAAACCTTCTTTGAGATATCTTAAGCAGAAGATTCCTCCAAATATGTAAACCACAAAAAGAACTATTACAAGGACTTTTACACTTGATTTTGTTAAAATTTCACCAATAGTATCTCTGTATATCTTTATAAATATATCATTATTGCTGAGTATTGGATTCTTATTGGCCAATCCAACTCTAATTAATTGATATAATTTGTTTTCTGAAAGAAGAAATACTGATTAGGAATATTACATTATACAATTGTCTATCAATAGTCATTATACTTACTGTAAATCTTCTCAAAATTAACGTTTATATATAAAAATGAATGCAACATTTTCTTTTCTCTAATGCCACTGAGTGCCATCATTCCTCCAAATAACGTAACTTCCAGTAAATATGCAAAAATAACAGATAAGCTTGCATACAGGGAATAGATCCGAATTACTCTGTAAGGAGTAGTCATTCCAATACAGAAAGATAAGAAATTTGTCAATGAAGTAATTGTAATCGATACTGCAGCTTCTGAATACGTATCACTCATCCTTCTTTTTACACTATCGTTGATATTCGTACGCCTCCAAGCAGCAAGAAGTACAAAGGAATCGTCTAGACCAACACCTGGAAATGAATACAATTTAATAATTTCCAGTGATTTTTCATAAATATGCTATTATATATTTAAATCTTACCTATCAGAAGAAATATCACAGATATATTTAAATCTATATATTCAGCTCCACACAGAAAAAGGAAACCGAATCCAGCCAATCCACCAAGAACAGGACAAATGCATCCAGCGATACCTATGAAAGGTTTGCTAGTTACACAATCCTTGGTCATAGAAGCAATTATAGCAAATGTTGCCATTAATGGTGCAGCCATTAAAATATACGGCATGACGAGTTTCGTGACTTTATGAAATTCCCAATCAAAAGTATTTCCTACAAATTTGTAGAAATTTAAATATTGAGAATTTAAACGAGAAACTGTCTCTAAGAATTTTTCTTCCCATTTTACTGCTAGTTTGTTTGATGTTTCTGAATTATATTTCAATGCGTACAACAACCGGATAGCTTTAATATCTTCAATATAATAATCCTCATCCATAGTCACTCCCCCAAAATTCATAATAGAGAAGATTGGAATGTTTGATGCTTCTTTTACTTCAAATGGAAATCTTTGGGAAAGAAAAGAATAATTATTATATTAAGTGAAAGAATGAGACTATATTTTTAGATATTCTGAATTAAATTCTAAATTTTTTTTGAGTCAGACTTTCTAAAATTCTGATTTGGAATTGGGTTTTGGTCTGCTGATTCCACAGCCCTGCTTATAACACAAGTNGAAAAATATATATTTTTTAAAAATAATTAAGTTATATTTCTTGAAAGAATTTCTAAATATTGAAGTGTGAACTTTCTTTTCACATTTAATGTACATTCGGCTCGAAAGTACCCGATTTTCAATCGCCATAAAAAGTAGATGGTTTAAGATATATAAAACCATCTACTGGCATCTAATGCCAGTAGATGATTTTATATATTTCACAATAACTGACATCTAATGGGAAAACTCATCAAGTTTTATTAGAAATGTTTATCATACTGCAAGACTGCGCGTTAAACGAATCGTGATCATTATTGCTCAGTCATGGCTTCGTCACAAGAGAAAGCGCGGATCATGGTCAGGTATGTTCGATACCGTGGCAATCAAGATCTTCCCATCTGATCCTTTTTGATTTCTTTCTGTAAGGTTACATGAAATATATGGTTTATGAAACTACGGTCAGAGATCTTCAGAATCTTCGGGGGCACATGATCGCAGCCATCACCACTGTGAGACAGGACACGCTTCAGTGTACATAGCAGGAAATTGCCTTTTGCCTTGGTGTTGTCACTGTGACTGCTGGACGCATATAAGTAAAAGAGCGGGATCATAGCATTCCTACATCATACGAATTATTAATTTTCTTTTTCTATTTGCATGAATTCGGAAAAATTAGAGTTAAAGAAGTGACAATTATAAATAATAGCAAAGAATGCTCAGGGAGAGAACGTCTTTATAAGATACCGTATGTTTCCCTGGAGTTGGCAGAAAGTAATTATGCAAAATTTGGTGCAAATTAGCCAAAGGGTTTAGCAATTTGTGAGAGATGAAATTAGGGGAAGGAGTGATGATACTAGTTTCAAGATAGCGTTTTTTGGAGGATTGTAGAGAGTAACTTTACGGAATTTGGTCCAGATAGGTCTGAATGTTTTGGAGTTTGTAGGGGAGAAAAAATCATCAGGAAGGAGTGAGTAATCCGAGTTTTCAGGTAGTTTATGTACAGTACCTCAGAAAGAAAATGCTTTCCAATGGTGAAAGAATTTTAGAAATCGGTTCAGTATATTCTGAAATTACCTCCAACGAACAAACAAACGTTCTCGCTTTATAGATTAGTATAGAAACATAAGAATAATCCTTATTTTTAAGTAATGGTATGGTAGGATTAATAGGCTATTAAAACAAATAACACATAAAAATACTATAGGCCTAGGTACAAAAGTCTAGTTTCATATAAGGGAAGTAAATTCGCTCTTTATAGTTGTATCTGATAATAAGAGTATTATTATAAGAAACGAACGACCAAGACAATATAAACAAAGCATATACGTAATTAACCGAACTGCACGAATCAAAACCGAAACTGAATAAATAATAAGTTTAAAAAAGCCGCCATGTGGCAAAGCGAATTGACCTCGTAACAAGGTCTATAAACACAAGGTCAGGACACCAATGTTCCTAAAGGAGCCGTCATATTGGGTCCTTAGTTTTAAGATCACTAAAATACAGTTTATGCAGCAAATAGCATTATTCGTATCAAAATATCAAAATATGAAGTTATAAAAGCAAAAATAATTATAAAATATGCACTATATTTCAGTTGAATATTTCTTATTAAATATAGGGGAGACCGGGGCAAGATCGGCATGTTAAGCTTTACTTAAATTTTGTGTAATAAATACTGCTGTAAACTGAAAAAAAGCTTTGCATATTGTCTATTGGAATGTTACCTTNAGTAAACTGCACGTTTCTTCGAATTCGAGCCACGGAATTCTTTTTATAATTTCAAATGGAGTAGCTTTTCATTTAGAGGTTACTCTGACCAATAATTAAAAGCTTTAACTAAATAGTTTTCAAAATAAAAACTTATGTCATTGGTTCGTATAATACAGTATGAGGATAAATTTATTTAGTTTTGAAATGTAAAATTAGAGAAGAAATTTGGAGATATTTGTTAAAATAAGGAATATATTTAGTTTTCTACTCGTATCTAAAAGAAATCTGTATTAGTAACATGATACTGTATTTTTCAATTTCACTAAAACTGTTACTCCAGAAAATGCAACATGTTCAGACTAAAGTACAGTTTATGCAGCAAATAGCATTATTTGTATCAAAATATGAAGTTATAAAAGCAATAATAGTTATAAAATATGCACTAAATTTCAGTTGAAGTTTTCTTATTGAATTTAAATTCATGCGATCTTGTATGGCTGCCGTTACTGCTAAAGGGAAACATCAACTAGAAGAGAAAAATAATTTTTGTAGTCTTCTAAGCAAGTAATCATTATTTATTAAAACATTTATTATTATATTACAAATCTCACACAGCAGAAATCTAATTTAAACAATAATAATTATAAAATATGCACTAAATTTCAGTTGAATTTTTCTTATTGAATATATTCAAGCTGTTATACAAAGAATATATCTTGTATGGCTGTTGTTCCTGATAAAGGAAAACATCAACTAGAAGAGGAAAATAATTTTCTGTAGTCTTCTAAGCAAGTAATCATTATTTATTAAAACATTTATTATTATATTACAAATCTCACACAGCAGAAATCTTTACAATAATGAATAAAAAAAATATTAGTAATAATGTAATTAATATAAATAAGATGTTTTTTTGAAAAATAATTGATTAGTGAATATTTCTTATGATAATATTGTGTGGTTCCTGTGATAAATACAGTATATGTATATTTTTTTAATCTGAAAAAAGCAATGTTTAATGTCCTAAAAACATTTGTTAAAAAAAAGTTTCTAAAATGTAAGCAGAGAATGTTTTTTCTTAATGTACATTAAGAAAGTTGATCACATTATCAAACAATAAAATGTCACCTTGAAACAAAAAACCTCTAAGGCAGCATTTCTTCAATTATTTACCAGGAAAATTTATTATTATTCAATTTTAATAAATCCTGCTCCTCTGTATATAATCATTAATAAACAATTACTTATATTAACTCTTATATAACCACTCTCCTGGATCTGTCACCAGGAAAACAAAACAATCTTATACCTCTGACTGAATACAAAACCATAAAAAAAATAATAGATAACAAGAAATTCAACTGTGAGGGTCGGACCGAAAAAAATAAAATTAAATAAAGAAGCTCAAATTAAATTAAATATCTTTATTAAAGTTAAACAAAGAAAAACTTCATTTTTCGAAATTTTACGAAAAAGAATATACACATTTCCTTACCATGGAGCCGTTTCCTATCTCTCAGGAACCCGAAAAATGATTCATGAGGAACTTATCCTAAAAATCGGCGATTGGCGAAACCCAGTAACGTGACGAAAGGGATAAAAGAGGGGCGACGACGAGAAAAAGGGGGTCCGTCGTCGCCGTCCGTGAACACGGTCCGTCATCACCGCTCGTGATCGCCGAAAACCCGTGCAGATCCTCATCGCCGCCGTCCGTTCCTCAAGACAACTTGTCCGATCCGATTAGCAAACGTCCGACGCTCCGATCCCAAATCGTAGATGTATGATACCCATTAATGTAAACTCTCTCTCGCGCGTTTCCCTCCACTTCCGCGTGTCCGCTCGAGATAAGCTCAATGTATTTATGTTAGTTATGTTATCGTCTAAATAAATCCTTCTTTTGTTGTTAATTGGTGTCTTTAATTCGAGTATCGCCAATGTCTTACCGACGACCTCTCTCACCTCCTCCACTCGACCTGACAAAAGAATCCCGACTTTACGGGATAGAAAAACATTATCCAAGCCATCCACTAACCAGTGGGCAGTTCTCATCAAACTGTTGCCTATCCAAACGGCTACCCACACAACTAATTGAGATGAAAAAAAAACAAAATAACCAAATTCGTACTAGAAACACCGTACACACAACCTCACAGGACCCAACATGGCGACTGCCGAGATGCATAACAGTATCGTGTTCAGGCCTTGTGTTTATAGACCTTGCTCCAAGAGTGTAGAGAAATAGCATGGTAAAAATATCTATCTCGTGCATTTTTATATTTAAATATGAAAATAGTATATAGCCTATGTTCTTTTGAAAATAATAAGCTTTCTAATAGGAAAAAACTTTTTTAAATCGGTTCAGTAGATTCTGAAATTACCCCTAACAAACAAACAAACGTTCTCGCTTTATATACTAGTATATAGATAGATAGATAGACTAGAGATTATGATAAAAACAACGAATTCGATATTTATTATTGGTTTAAGACAGTTTTTTTTTTTAACTTTCCACCCTATGGGCACTAAGAGGGTCTCATTTTAGCGAGCCAATTATGAGTTCGGCTAGGACCACAATGGGCAGCCGGGTGGTAAGGGATGGGGCCCGACATATCCGGACGAACCACCCTCCGAAAAATTCCTGGGGATTTCTTGACCCGACCGAATTTGATCTCGGGTTCCCCAGGGTGGCAGGCTGCCACCTAAACTGCTCGGCCATCCGGCTGTTGGGTTTAAGAAGTTGTAATAAGTTTTATTATTACAAAAACATCACCAGTTGTCTTCTGCAGATGTTACAGTCTTTAACTATATTCATGGATATAGACCTATATTATGCCCAGATAATCACTTATTGAGCAAAAATAAGTAGTGTGTAATATCTTTAACAACTAAACACCTGAATGTTGCGGCGTTTTTTCCCAACGCGTTAAGGACGATTTTCAAGAAGTTACGTACACGGCGTTACAGATGAATGATGACACCTAATATGCTGATGTCATTCCCCTTCATTATAAGTCAGTCAGCAGGAGATGGCTTTTTAGAACGTTCCTTACTGACATACTATAATAGTAAACGTTCCAGATACAGGACTTGCATAAAAAGATGTTGCAATAAGTGTCAAAGAAGTTGGGACAGGTCGTATTGTAAGTTATGACAAAATTGCTTGTAAATTGCCAAATACGAGAAGAACATCGTTAGTTGTGATACTGTAAAAAGTCTCGTAAATATTACGATACGTAATAACTCGTAAGTCGATACACTGGGAAAGATGATGCTATACTTGTAAATCATTTTAATTCTAACAAAATAAAATTCTGTTATTTTTTTCCTCAGGCATTGCAAACACGTGAGAAGCTACAAAATTTTGAAAGCAGGTGACAAATACGCTTTCCGATTGGCTGAATTAAACCGAAAGCCATTACTAGAGACGTCACAAGACATACTTTCGTCACCGATTTCTTTTATTTTGTTATAAACACTACGATGCGTTTTGTGAATTCGAAAATATCGTAAGTTTCCTGATGTAGAGCTTTGACGGTGGTGAGCACGCCTTGTCGAAAAGCAGGACACTAAAGGAGAAATTGTAAAAACTTTATGGTGTTACAGCTTATTTACTCCTACAGATTTCTAAAAGAGACATTTTTTGGAGAGTTTTCAACAGGTGTTTACTGTAAGTTACTGAAAGCCATATTGTAATAGTAAAAAAGTACAAATATAGTTCACCAGATGTGTTATTATGATACTTCGAATTATCTAAGTAAAACCAATGGCTTTAAAAATAAACAATGACTTACACTACTTGACATTTATACTCATTTCTTTGTTAGCTAAAATCTATTCTTAGCTATTACGTTATTATTCAAGAAATGAAGACTTTTATTGTAATGTGACAAGCTATAAAATAGTATAATCTTAATTCTATTGCCGTAAAGTTTCTGTTATGAAAGTATCTTTTCTATTCTTTTTTTAATAAACACATCTATCTAAATATAATTTATGTGCATTCTTTTATGAGTTTGTGCTGAATATATACACTTACGTAAGCTGTAAGCTATATCACTAGCTTTAAGTAAAATAGGTCATGACCTTCCGATTATGAAAGACTTCCTCTTTTTTTTATATACAACTGATAATGAAAATATTATATAATTTTTTATAACATAAATTCCTGCAGTCTTTGAAAATAAAATTCCATAGGTTAAGTTTTTAATATAAACTTACAATTAATCGTAAATAATAATTTATTTACAGTATGTCCATTACTTTAAAATAGAGATTAAGTATATTTTTAAGTAAATATTTCATATGTAAACTGAAGTTATTAAGTTCTTTTTAACCGTACCGCTACTATTATTTATTATTTTCTTTCTGGTCTTTTAATATATAAGCTAATTTATTCTATAAAAAAATTCTATTGTATTTCTAATAATAAATATAGAGAAATGCAAAACACATTACAGCAAGACTAAGCAGTTATCACATAATAGAAGTGAATGGTTATACTTGATATTGCTTTATGTATCATTATTAGTAATAATAATATTTTAGACTAGAGTAGATTATCGAACTTATGGAGTAATTGGAAGAAGTTGTGTATTCACAATAGTCAAAAGGCCATATTAAATGTATCTTAATAACATAGTTTCGATGTACAGTACAGAATTTATTAAATGTTATTATAATATATAAGTATTGTTACGCGTATAACAAAACAAATGCATCACTTACTTGATAGGATATTTTTTTCTTTTTATTGCCTCAGTTTTCCCGGACAATAACGTAATCAAATTGTCAAGACATTTTCCACTATAAGTTCTCAAACACAAGTCCTTATATCTTATCGTTTGATTCTGGTAAGTTACGCTAATATTTTCAATTATTTTGTTAACATTCTTAATTTCGTCGATGATATATTCTCTTAGCATTGATCCTCCATCTTTAGCTTCCATTAATAATAGACCCAACCTACCAAATCGCATCATTCTAGTGATATCAAAGTCGCTTTCGTCAACAGGAAACAAAGTCTCTGCCACTCTCCTTTCATCTCTAGCTCTTCCATTAACGGGACAATACAGATATTCGGCATCTTTTGTAAAGTTCAGTTTACTAAATCCTGTCGAGAGTATCCCAACGACGATTAAAGGAACGAAAATAAAGAGTAAGGGGTGCTTTCCTATGTACCATCCTAATTTCCTATAATTTGACGATATAAATCTATTGATGTAATCATACTCCATCGTAGACTAATCTGTAATTTAATAATATTCATGAGAACTCAATATTAAATCAATCCTTACTGACTGTTGTTTGGTAATTTAATATTAAAATATTTATAACTTTATTAATTAACGAAATAATTTAATTACTTCTTACATCCAAAAATATTTTCCAATTTAATGCCAAGACCTTGAGACCTTGACTGTTCATTTTATTTATACGATACTTTCCTAGTATAATTACTATTTCAACCTATAGGAAAACACGGAATTCTCATACGTAATTGTCATCGTTGGTTCGTCAGAAGTTTTTTATATACGTTAATTCTTAAAATTAATGAAGTGCTGTGCCTTAAGACACAGGCTAGACACGCACCACCAAAAACTCAGCTCTTGACACTTATTCTCTTTTTAAACACTACGTCACAACTGATAAAGATAACCTAGCAACCATGCTCTAAGGATAAAAACAAGATATAACAACACTTTTTTCACCTATATAAAACCTACGTTTATAAACAATTGCGTGAGGGTAGAACAGTACGTTTTCACTGTATACAACGGTATCCAATGTGACGGATGTGTTGTTCAAGTATTTCAGAAGTTATGAGAATTGTGACGCAATATACTGGAAACGGCAATTAAACACCAAGGTTAAGATTGTACATGTAACATACTTTCATACGTACTTGTATACGTGCATACGTAAAATTGATTAGAAAAAGAAAATAATATAGTTTTAAATAGAAATTTCATAGACAATAAATGAAAAAGAGGAAAATGGATTTAAAAAATTCACCAGTAATAAAAAAGAAAATAAATGACTCGTTTCTAAATGTGCAATTTTCCTGTCCAAATCTGTATTTTGAAAGGAAAATTGTACTTATTTTAATGTATTTATACGCTGGTTTAAGGTCGTCTAATTAAAAAACATGTTTTCGTGTTTGAATATTTATGTTCTATAAGTTACCAAGAGAAATATCCTGTTTCGTCATTAATAAGAACATCATTAATAAGAAAAACATGTCATTATGGTATGTATTTAATATATATTTTTACTTACAAATCGCGTGATCGAATATTCTCTATCTACATTTCGAGAAAATTACGCAAGTTTCCGACCATAATCTTAAGGGGGGACAATACGACTATTATTACATAGTAGTCTATGCTAATGATAGTGTCTTTAATGATATGACAATTGTATTAATAGTATGCCTCTAAAAAACAATGATGTATCTAATGAGTCGAAAGCCCCGTACGCTATTTTACTGGAGACTTTTCCAAATATTCCTGAAGAATTTTAATGGAACTGGTGCCAAGGTTCCTCTTGACAGATGGACTGACTTTGCTGAGAGCCTTAATAGAAAATTAATTAATCCTCCAATTCAATAGAACTGTCTGTTATTTACGCCAACGTCTACACTAGGCAATCTCAAGTGACAATTAATTTTTCTTGGCCTTGCCAAGAAAGATCGAGGGCAAGGCTTTTCGCACGTTCAAATGTTATAAAAAAAATAGCCAATTTTAAAATAAAAATCGTATTAAAAAAAGATCTGTATATAAAAAGTACTCAGTGTATTTTTCTCTTTATACTTTCCCTGTTATATAACATGTTATATAACAGAGGGAAAGTATGGCAATCGGTCAAAAAATAATCCCCAAGATTATTACATTTTTTGGACTCTGAGGACCTTGAAACATCGAGAATTCAAAAAGTCGTGTATTTTTTCTGTATTACNAATCGGTCAAAAAGTAATTTCCAAGATTATTACATTTTTTGGACTCTGAGGACCTTGAAACACCGAGAATTCAAAAAGTCGTGTATTTTTTCTGTATTACTATGAACACATTGGGCCTTGGCCGTAACGCTACTAAGCTTATTTACAGGGGTGCAATTCCTGCAACCCTCATGCCGTAATCTGGGGCCACGTGGCCGCCAAAGTCCATAACCGTAAAAAACTGTTATCTGTTCAAAGGATTGCAGCTCTCCGCATTTGTAAGGCTTATAGGACCGCACCAACTGGTAATGTCAGGATTGGCCCCCAATCGACTTAGAAATTAAACGCATTATTTGTCAGGAAAATCTCGTCACCTTATCCTGGCGAGATTATAGCGACTCGGATTAGAGTAGGTAAAATCCCCCCCAGTTTGATCTTGATCGATGATATCAAAAAATTTAACATCGACAAAAATACCCTCCTGACTTACGATTACCACCCCTTCCACCAGCTTGCTCCTGACATTTACTTCGAAGATCCAGGTGATCGTCCATGTTTAGGATTTACACTGACGGTTCCAAGATGAGTGACGAAGTGAGTGCCGCTTTTGTAGTTTATTCAGACTTAAGCCTGGTACCCACATGCGGCAACGGACGACGGACGACGGAAACGGTCGACGGAACGGCAAAATGACGTCACTTTTGCCGTCGACGTCGACGGAATACGAAGTTGAAAATTTTCAACTTTTGCCGCGACGGAAAGCGGCACGGTAAAAATTAGACCAATAGGAAGACCGTTTATCAATGTCGTCTTAAAGATCACGTGGGACGATAGCATTTGAACTATTGCGGTCGGCAAGCTAAAAAGCTTTATTTGTACAATAATACGCTAATATATTTCATTTATACTCTATATTACTATCCGATTTAAATGTGAGTACCAGGCTTCACAACGCTTGCTTCCGTCTCGGTACACACTGCTCAATAGCACAGCCGAAAACTTTAGCTATTTATATGAGCTTAATTCACATTAGGCGTAGGAAGAACAAAAGACACTACTTACACTATCGTATTTATTCTGACAGTAGGGTAACTTTACAAAGGATTGCGAAGTCTGATAGCCGCTTAAAACTCGTCCACCTCATACACCACATTCTCAGACACTTAGACAACGACATTAGAATAGATTTCCAATGGGTCCCGGGTCATGCGGGTGTTTTCGGCAACGAGACCGCCGACCGTCTTGCTAATCAAGCTGCAAAGTTTTCAGTACATTCCTACCTCGTACATCAACAATAATGTCAAGAAGAAATCTTCCTTCTCTGGCAATACAGCTGGGACCGTGACATTACCGATAGGCTCATCTACACTTTCATCCCCAAGGTTGACACTACTGCGATTCTTCGCCACTTTTACCCTTGTTACACCCTCACTTAACTACTTACATAACGCAGCAACTTAAAGCAATACTTGCATAGATTTAACCTTGGAGACAATCCACAATGCAACAATCAGACAATATTTTTCTTTTTGTGAGTACATTAATTCTTACGAAATATATCTGCTAACATAATTACACACATGTACGTAAAACCAGTTGTAGTTTATGGTATAAAATATAAGAATGAATTTGTGAACCTTGAACAGGGATTATATTTATTTTAATATAATTTATGATTAGAAAAATCAAATTAAAATATAATACGTTATTTCTTTAATCAGCTTTTACGCTTTATTTCGTTAAACTCCTTATCTGTGAAATGAATCGTTCATTGCTGCTTATCAACCAATCCATAATAGAAAGCAGATACTTCCTTAAATTTTACTTCCTATTTACTATTTTACAAGATATATTTTCCTAATTTTAAATAATTTATAATATAACTATATAAAAATTTTAAAAGGAAAAAATCTTAATAATTTATATTTTATAACTTATAAAATTAATAACTAAAAAATAAATAAGAAAATAAATACCTTGAATATAATTATAAATTGTTGTGTAATATAGGCCTAAGTTGTATAATGACACGTTTTTTAGTTAAAAAATTAATTAAATGACCTCTTACACTGAAAATTCAATAGTTTGTACGAATTTCACTGCCAGTGTCAATGAACTTCAGAGCTGTGTTGAGGAAGTATCTCTAGTCTTGAAATATATATACGCACATACACATATCAATGTCTTGTTTATACTTGTATTAATAATAACATAATGTAAACAATACTTATTTGGTGTTTCGAAACGACAAAGACGTCTTCTCAGAGTATAATTTTTTTTTTTTTNAGACACAAAGACAAAACAACCTTTAAAAAATATAAAAAACCCTGTACTATTGACAGCGTCATACACTTTACATATATAAAAAGAATACTTTTTACATGTACTTGGATAAAATTATGCAACGTACCACCTATGATACCAATATATTCAATGAGATCGAAGACATCATAAAAACGTACTTAATGAACGGGTATAGCAAGCGCATAATCAGTAACTGGCTAAATAATAAATATGTTAATACACACAAATAACCAATTGACAACACTGCTTAAAATTTTTTTTAAATTCCTTACGTTATGAATATCTTTGAAAGAATTAAAAGAAAATTAATTAAGTATAATATTATTTCGATACCCGAACATCGCAACAGCTTACATAAGAAAATAAACGTACCTAACAGAAAAACTAACATATGACACCAAAAAAACGTTGTTTACAAATTTGAATGCGACTGTAGCACACCTAAATCTTACATTGGTGAAACTAGTAGGGAATTAAAGGTCCGTTTCAATGAACATATCTTTGCCATAGCACACAACAATGATAGCTCGACTGTAGCTGCCCACTGTAATAATGAAGGCTGTCAGATTGTAAAAGATACTTACAAAGGAAAAAATACTTATAAAAGAAGATTGTACGAACACTTAGAAATAATAAAAAACAAAGAGGAAATCATGAATAACAACTCCGGTCAAAAATTACACGAATCGTGGTACGTATATTTGACCAGAGGAGGCGTGGGGGGAGGGTGACGGTTACCCTGGAATGTCCTTCGAATCGTTTTGTTACTGTGTTCGTGTTACTGTGAATCTACTTATCATTTTGTTTTAACAATGTATATTTTTACGACTTTATTGTTTTATCAGAATCTCACTTTATTATTATGTTATTGTATCAACATTACCGTTTTTTAATAAAAATCTTGTTTTATCGCGTGCTTAGTCTTTTAATTAATGTTCAACGCATCGAATCCACATGTCAAATGTAAGTCCACATTCTTTGTTCATTTCTGTCAATCACGGTCTTTTTATAAAAATTGTTAATTTCCTATTATTCTTTGTAGCAAAAAGCTGATGAGGGATTCCATGTCCGAAATGCATTCTAAAAATAAAATAGTGTTTTTGTAAATCTAATTTGATGTCCTGTGGTGGTGTAATAAGTCTAGCGGTAAAGTAAAGCCAATCTTAATGCTCACAAATCATTTAGAAGACTAGACAAGAAGCGTATCATAGTATTCACAGAATATATTATGTTTTTAAACCTGATTAATAATCTATAAATCATGCAATCTTCTATTTTATATTATGTTATGATTAATTTAATGTGTTAGCTCACGTTGTGTCTTTTACACGTGTTAAAACCAAAAGATCTTGTGTAAAAGAAATTTCTCATTAATAATTTCTAATAAAAGGTGGACTTTAAACAATTCAGTTGTTTAAACTTTAAAGGCATGCAATCAATAGAAAAAGTTAAATTTGATACTTACACTGAAAGAGAGAATAAATCTAATGAATTATAATTCATTGTTACCTGTTCGAATGGATTTTATGAGACGTTTTCATGTAAATTCCCAAGCCCTGATGTAAAATTCCCAAGCACTCTAGAGACCACTAACAGGTTAGTGGTCTCTAGAGTGGAAAGACTACTTTTGCAATCATCTCTTATTTAAAAAAAAACAGGTGGCATGTCCTTGAATTTTTAAATTGAAGAAGGAGAATTTTAGAAAAGGATTCTTGTCTTTGAAGCTTTAAAAAATTGTTAAATTTATTTAAAATTTGTCATTGTAATAAGCCTATTATTACGAAATGGGTTGAAATGTTAGGCGATAAAACAATTGTGTAATTATCTTTATATTCATTAGGAGATGAGGTTTTATTTTAAATTTTTTTAAACATTTACTACTTATAAAAATATAATGGCACTTACTTTTAAAGTATAAAGGATATTAAATCAGAGGAATAGAGAGAGAAGGATTAGAAGAAACACACGGTTCAGGTGTTTCTTCTAATCCTTAAGGTTCGTGTAGCGGGGTATATACGTCTATATTGCTATAAATTAATTAAATGCCCTCTTAAATTGAGAATTATATTATATTATATCATATTTACATTAATGTTTATGCCATACCTTAACCAGAAACGAGGACTGAGACCGAAATCCTGTGTAATAATTTGGCCTCTGGCAATAGCACGTGTAGGCAATGTTGTCACGAATGTCGACTGTAATTTGCATCATTTTATCTTTTTTTATTTGGAGTTTAAATTATTAAAATTTCATTAATTAAATTACACAATAAAAATAAAAATTCAATCGGCATAAGAAACTAATTTAGGCGTATATTAAGTCTCATTCCGAATGGATTTAGTCATTTCATCTAATCACTTTTATCGAGAGAATAAGAAAAATTTAACTACTTAAAATACAAATACACATAAAATAACGATATAAATACACATAAGGAAAACTGACAAACAATGAAAGTATTTTATTTACACCAACAAGAAGAACTGGTTTTTCAAGGTCGAAACCCTTTCTTCCTTTACCACCAATTAAAAAAAATAAATTATTTTTTTAATTATTTCTTAAACTTATTATATTAAAATACATTTAGTAAATAAATTTATAATTGTTTTTATCTTATTTTTTAGCTTATATCAATTTAAATTCGAAATAATAAATAGGTACGAAACACCAACTTACTTTCTCTAGGTACGAAGCTGTTACGCTTTATCTAACCTGATAATCAATCCAGCTTGAAATTCCTTTCTGAAATCGTTATAAAAAGGCTTCGTAAGATATTTTAATAAGTATATTTTATATTAATACTTATGCCAGACCTTCATCTGAACCGACTGTATACTGGTCATAATTCTGTTGTAAACCACGTGGGGGTTTACTTCACGTGACGTAAACTTTCCAGTTTAAACTATTAAAAACAAAAATATACAATACCTTTATATATATACACGTCATTATAGAACGAGGTACGTGCGCTCACTACCGCATACAACGTTCTATTTTATTTTATTTTTTATTTATATCTGTGTCAATTGTTCTATAAAACGTAAACCAGAAATGTAATTGTGTCTTATAAAATTTATATATTTTACATTCTGTTATTTTATTCTGTATTGTTATTATTTATTGATTCTTTTTACATTATTATTAATTGTTATTTTGTGTAAAAAGATATACTCCTGATTATATAATATGTGATATTCTGTATACTTATGTAAACTTCCGTAAAAATTTAGAACACCTATATAAATAAATATGCTAAATTTCATAATATTAACACAGAACAATAGAATAATTAGCTTGTTGGCTATAAAGTGGGTCTAAACGAGCCAATGATGTAGTTCGTTTTATTTGAAACGGATAATATTATTAGCCTGGTTACCAGCTGTATTAATTTTATAATAATTAAAAATATAAAATGTTTTAAAATAAAATTACTATTATCCAACCCGTAACGTTGTCGCGTATCCTCATCAACACTCTTAATTGTACTAAGGAATAATACACAGTACGAGTACTGAACATTATGATATTTTGTTAGTTACGTGTATAACATGCAAAACGTGACGTAAACAATACAATTCGCTATGCAACTCTACGGGAAAAAATAAATAAATCGTTGTTACCAAACGGTTAATATCCTAGTATTATGTAACGTCTTTGTAAACCATCCCACTCTATCATAACACATCGTAATCCGCATACACCATAACAATACTATTATACAGGTAATGCCTTCCGGGAAGTCTGTTTTAAAAGTAACTGGCCCCTATTCAGGCGTTACACACGTGGAGAAAACACGGAAAACTCCACGTGGTCATCCAGCCCGTCTTTGAAGAGGTACGAACTTCTAGTGGAACCGCTTGGACACTGATGAGCCTTTATTCCGATTAGGAACAAGGCATTAATGACGTTTTTTCTTATTTTTTTCCAATAAAAACTTGGTATACGAATTGTTTTCGTATTGTTAATGCTATGCCCTCCTGTTGTAATGCCGACACAATTACTTACGAAGGTTTCTTGAGGTTATAAGGAAAGTCATTCATTAGTCTAAACACAAACAAGGACATTGAAGGCCAATATGAAGTTTCTTGTTTTGAAGAAGAGTTACGACTTTATGACGTAAATCGCATCATAAAATCATCACGTGTTACATTTGCGATCCCCTACTGGGATTTACAGGTATAG